CCCCCTAATTGAAGGGTGAAAATCGACCCTTTGTGTATATCTGTATAGAGATGTGTATATGGAATGTGGCGGCACTTTGCTGAATGTGAACTTGCCTTGTCAATGGAAAGATTGAGAAGTATTATGTTTATTTATACATTTGTATAAATCTATATATACACGTATATATATGTGTGTGTATAGATAAAGCTATATACATATGTTTCCCTAAAAATGTGTGTGTATAATGGAGAAACAGCCTTTGTTAAGCAAGATTATACATCTATGGAAAATTCTGGATTCTGCTGTAAGCGGGAGGAGGTGACAGTCGAGTCCATCATCAGAGCAGACTAAGACGGAGGAAGTCCTTTCGATTATAGTCTCGTTTATGGTGATTATAACTGAACTTCTTTTAGAACCGTTCTTACCAGTCCCACTGTTCTTCATCTTCTCTATCTTCTAAGTCCATCTTTCAACATTTACAACACTTCATTGTGCTTTTCCTCCTTTATTGTGTCCTTTCAGAAGCATTGTCTTAAGTGTATTACATTAACGTCTTGGTTGTTTCTTTTAAAGATTTTTATCTCTGAAATTTCCCAGAAGGAACAAGTTTTGGTAATATTTTCTATAGTAATTTTGAGAATCAGGTGTTCATCTTTGTTTCAGAAACACACAGACAAAAATCAGCATTCAAACAAAACTGAAAAATTTTACCTAGATAATTTTAGAACACTTTACTTAAATTGAAAAAAGAATTTGATTTTATGATTGATATTAGTGCTAGGTTCATTTCCTCCTTTATTGTCATTTAACATTTAATTTGACTTTGATAAAAAATTTACCATTTTAATTTTAATGGAAAGCGCACAGACTCACATGTTAGCCTCTTGAATTCTATAACCAACTCATTTTACTCATGATGAAACTGCTTTGATGAATTCTTGTGGAATACATTCTGCTATATTTCCTTTTGACTTTTCTCACATCGGTGGCATTGTTTTAACTTTGCTGCAGCTCTCTAGAAAACTTGCATCCCTATATATTGTGCCTTTCAAGCTCTTATGCACACACAGACAAAAGTATATTTATACATGTTGGAGCATGTGTACATATACTTTCCTATATACTCACACAGTATGTCTTTAGTGTATATTGTGGGAGTGGATATATAGATATTCCAAGGCAATGAAATGTTGCTCTCTAGATATATATGTATATAAATAGTGTTGATATACTGTATATACACATGTATATGTATGAGTTTTAAATGGCAATCTTTTACATTTAGCAAAATGCTGCCCCTACTGGAATATTGTCACTGCAATGGCAGTTGTATGTAATGATTTAAAATACATTTTCAAAAATTATTTAAAGAACATTTAAAATTCTCATCTAAAGATATCCACACATTATTTATTTATCTTCCTTTTCCTTTTTTTATTTTTATTTTTAATTGAAAAGGAGGCTGTCATTTTTAAAATGCCATCTGTCTCACGGGAAGAGAGCTGGAAATTCACCTGAGGGGCCGTGTGTGGTTTTCCGCTCTCTGATGTACCACAAACCAGCCTGTTTATTTCAGTTATAAAGCAGTCCTAATATTTCCATTAGTGTATGTCATCCATCATCTCCTAGATCAACTTAATTCACCAATTTGCCTCTTCCTTTCATTAATAAATAATGATCGTCCAGATCATTTTGCCTGAGGGAAGTTAACTACTCTTGCTGCAGGGAACTATATCACCTAATTGTTATTCTGCCTTGTTCAAAAGTCAACTCTGAGGGAAGGCGGCACTCTCATGAAGCTGTCTTAAGCACGTTTTGCATTTATTTAGTTAAAGGTCTTCCCTTCACCCCCCCCCCCCCCCCCAAAAAAAAAGAACTCCCAAGTCTGCATGCACTTGACATAGATTTAATTCTTATTCCCCACAGCTTCAGGTATTTTTCATTAGCATATCAATTTGACACACCTAATGAAATGATATTAAGAAGAACTGTTAAATATTTTATTTTGTGATGAGTTGGCAGCTGATTAGGTTTTAAGGTGTTACAGAGAGGACTGTAGGCGGACAATCTAAATGTAAGATGTTACGAAAAACAGTGGAGTAAGAGTACCCCTGAGAACTAAAATAGAGAGGTTGGGGGCGAGTGACTTCAGAGCAGCTTAGCTGGAACTTGATATCAGAAGCAGCCTTTAACAAAAAGCCTCTTGGCAATTGCATGGTACTAACTGGAGTACTGAAAGTGTAAGTTGAAACCAAGTTGCAGTGGGAAATCAAAGGTGAGGTGGCTTGTTTGAAACCGATAAATGACAAGTCGCACAGTTTTAAAATCTCTTAATGTAACTGCACGGTAGCAAGGACTAGCGATCCTCGAAGCCTATGTTTTTCAGTGTTCTCAGTCACCTTGGCACACAAGTATGTTTAATAGTCCATACGTTAAAAATATTTGCAAAAAGGAAAGTTGCTTAAAGGGAACTTACAAACTGAGAATCTTCTCTGCATTTATGATCATAGTGGCTGGAAGCTTAGTTATATGCACAAAAGCTAGGAGCCACGGGGTTCTGCACAGACTGTAGAGCGAGATGAGGAGATTGGCAGGTTTGGTGCGAGCCCCCCAGGTCTGAAGGAAAGGCATTGGGTGTGATGTTACTGGGGGAGACCACACTTTGGGAGGGGATGGGCTTTTGGTTTGTAATTTCCCTTTAAACAAGAAGAGATGGCTCACATTTTCCATATATCTCTCAATGAATGTACTGTATTACTGTTTTAAAAATTTGATGAAATAATAATGGATTGGTCTCCTTTTGTTATCTGGTCCTTGTTTAATTTGTTTAAGGGTTTTTGTATACAAAAGTTTACATTTTTATGTATATTTTTCTTGTGTAAAAACTGATGTAATATGTGTATAAAACATTGTATGTATTATCTGTATATAGTGTGACAAAATGATTTTTCTTTCTTTCTTTTGGATGTATTAATAAATCTTGCTGTGAAGTATCCTTGTATTTGGTATACTTTCCTTTGCCTGAATATTGATGGAAGATTCTAACCCAGGATTGGTGTTTCTCCCCACTTTGTTATTTAAATAGGGTAAATTTTTCCTTATATCTTATATTTTATCAAGAACTCTAGGGAAATATATTTATGGTTCTCTATGGTTAGATTGACAATGATTAATATTTGTAACAGCTGTGGATCAATTAAACGCTATCTAAGGTGACTTTGCTGTGTATCCAACCTTGAAATCCAACCAGAAGTTGCATTTGAAATTGTTAAATGCGACGGTGGAGGTTTTACAAAGCAATGTCTATTTCATTTAATCAGAAACCCCTTCTCTCCATTTTCATAGCTTCAGAAGTATAAGAACAATCTCATGCTGTATAACAAAACTTTTCCTTTAAGGCAGGGGCAGGAATCATCCGCCCCATGTAATCATTTGGTCTGGCCCTGCCAAGGCATTAGGGGTGAATTAATTAAATGTTTGACCAAATATAGCAGGCTAATTTTAAGTTGATAATTTTGGATGTCCCCCAAATAATGTTATAAATATCCAAATAGCCCTTGGCAGAGAAAAGGTTCCCCACCCCTGCTTAAAGGCATTGCCAAGTGCCCGCCTTGTGTCTCCTTAGAATTGAATTGTTACTTTAAAAAAATATGTAGATTGAACTTCATTTCCTGTGCAATTTTTGTTGCTGAAGGATGTAGTGGTAAGGCTAGGACACAATTTGCAAAGAAAAATCCATAATCTAATCACAATACATTTGTAAAGATTCACTACTTTTATTTTTGTGGGCATTTGGATTTGTTTTCCTTGGTCTTTAATCCAGGCATGTTTACTTTTAATTTTTATTGTACTTTGTTTATTGTTTTAGAGGGAGAGGGAGAGGGAGAGAAGAGAAACATTGATTGGTTTCTGCTCCTGCACACACCACACAGGGAATTGAACCCAGGACCCTTGGGTGAGTGGGACGATGCTCCAACCAACAGCCAAAGCAGCCAGGGTGTGAGGGTTCTTTATTAAAAGATGTGCATGTCACCTCGCTAAACAGAAAAGTAGAAGTCAAATTTAAAGAGCCAGACCATGTACTACCTCCACAGTCCGTCGAGGCCAAATATGGGGCCCCACAGTACTTACCTTCTGTACCAGGGATGATTCTTTAAGACTAAAATTTCCCCTCTCTTTTCCTTTCAATTGCTGTTTGGTTTTTGTTGTTGTTGTTTTTATATCGTTAAACATTGTACTTGCTCTTTCCACTATTACTCTTTAAGCCATTGCAACTCAGCTTTCACCTTGTTTTCCTGAAGCTATTCTTCCCAAGGCCAGTGGTGACCTTTGCTGTCATTCTCTTTAACCTCTGAGTCAGTCAGCATCCAAGACATTGCATCGTCCTCTTTCTCCACTTAATTCTTTGGTTATGTCTTTTCTCCATTCTTTGTTCCAATTCAACTTCCTTCTCTCTCAAGTTGAACCTGTCTCAAACTAATTCTTCAGCCTTCTCTGTTGTTCTGACTCTGTACGTGAGCTCCCATGGAGGACCCTTACACTGCTATGATCCAACCATGGACCTCCCAGGAGGGGAACTCCATGCCTGTGTCTGCAGCTCTGATAGCTCTCAGA